GAGTGGTGGAAGCGCGCAGACGAGAAAGCGCCTAAGCCTTGGACATGGGAGCATTTTGATTGGGCATTCAAGAAGGAGTACATACCAGCTCGCTTCAGAGAGGAGAAACGCACGGAGTTCATGGAGCTGAAGCAAGGAGACATGACTCTCCCCGAGCTTCGACAAAAGTTCGATCACCTAGCTCAGTTTGCGACTACGCTGGTATCCACGCCGGCAGACCGTATTGAAGAATTTCGCAAGAGGCTGCGTCCCGACATTCGGCCATACGTGTCCATCCTGACTACTACGGACTTTTCTCCGATAACAGAAGATCCGTAACTCTGATTGACGTGAAATTTTAACACGTTGAAGATCTATGTGTTGAGAACACCCTCTGAAAATTTCAGCAAAATCCAACGGTCGGATCTTCGGCGATGATCAAATCTGTGCGGGCTATCCAGAGAATTTACACTCTCAAAATCTGCACCTTGTGTTTTTCTTTTGATCGATTTTGCTACTGGTTTTTAGTAGTTTTGCACGCGCAAAACCCTAAGGGAGGGTGAAAGTAATATATAGAGCATATTAACCTTGTTAGAGTGTGCTTAGGAGTCTCAACCATGCCTTCCTCCTCAAGAATAGTAAACCAAGTAGGATTAGACTTTTTTCTTCAAGCTCTTTCCTCTTTCTCTTTCTTCACATGCTAGAACTCTAAGTCTAAATAAAATATCTAAAATAATTCTAGGTAAATCTATTGGTTTGTCAAAAAATAATGCCAACACAATATGGAACTAGGAATGAAATTAAACTTAAGGAGTGATATTTTTGCGAGATGAAAAAGAAAAGCTGTTTGTTCATGTAAATTATTATTTTATTTAAGATTAGGTCGACGAGACTTATCATCACAATGATAAGAATGGCTTACGAAGCAACTGAAGGATATATATTTGGAATGAATTAAGCTAGGGGTACATCAACATGGGGTACCCTAAGTGTACACCAAAGCCAACACAGACACACACAGACAGAAAGTGTCTGTGCAACACAGACACTTTGTGTCTGTGTGTGTCTGTGTTGGCTTTGGTGTACACTTGGGGTACCCCATGTTGGTGTACCCCTAGCATTGCCCATTTGGAATGGATTAGAGACGTCTGTCTAGGCTTTTGTCCCCCTTATTGATATATACAGAGAAAAAAATGCATTGTTAGAATATAAATACCTCTTCCTGAACCACAACCACAAACTTAAACTTTTGGTTGAGTTGGTTGTTTTACATGGTATCAGAGCCTTATTGACTAAGAGATTACCGGTTTGAAACTTAGCGCCACACAGTTTTCAGAAAATAAAAGTTTCACATGCAAGGCTCGAAAAAGACTACGCATGCACGTGAGGGGGTGTGTTAGAGTATAAATAACTCTTCCTGTGTCACAACCATAAGCTTGAGCTTTTGGTTGAGTTGGTTCTTTGACAAGCATCTACATGTCAACTTTTGGGGGGGGGGAAGAACATCCACACTCCTAGATTATTAAGGTGGAACGCCCACACTGAGCTTTCCCACACCCCGACCTGACCGGATTGCGAGTGGAATAAATCATGATATAATCTCAATTTGGCCTTAGAAAGATCGCTTTGTGCCTGGTGCGTACAAAGAACTATATTACAAATAATACTCCCTCCGTCCCCCATAGATCTTTCCAATAGCCATTTTTCTTTGTCCACAATAGATCTTCTCATTTCATTTTTTAACAATTAAAATACCACAACTATCCCCACTTACTTTATTTATTACACCTCACCCACCTCATTTAATACACTCCATCCATTTTTCATTAAGGGTATTATAGTAAACTTTCACCTTTTTTCAACTCTCCTTAAAAATCACGAAAAATCAAAATAAGAACATCTTAGAAAGACGGAGGGAGTATAACTTTCACATTATCGTTGTCGAGATTCGACCATAGTATCAACGGGCTTGACATTGTCATCTTACCCATACATTATTAAGGACGTACACTATAGAAAAGCCCATTATCTTTTACCGAGTAGGAAAAAAATGGGACCATGAGAGGTGAGAAACGGCCAAAACGGGGTTCAATGGTTTTAGAAGACCGGTGTGGTGGATCGCCGCAGTATCAGCCGGTGAGGCGGGACCCCAATGCTGACACACCGCCGTGTACGGCCCGTAATCGAGTGAGTGACGATGCTCCTCCAAATACAACCGGACAAAGTCTTCCCTTCCTTTCCTCATCACAAACGTCATTTCAACGTCAATATCGGAATCTCAACAACTCTTTTATATTCTCCCCCAACGCGCCCATCTACAAGGACTACCCTTCTTCCATCCCATAACACGTAAGATTTGAGTTCGATTCCTAGCAACTGTGTTGAAAGACAACTATGCAAAGTACATAGTTTCTGCAAGTACCAAGTAAAAGCTCCACTTTATGTCGTTACCAATTTGTAATTAAAATCTAATTTATCTTCTCTCAGTAACCGTCCGGCTGGGTTTGAGGAAGCCCTTAGAGATGTGGCTCGTCCTTTTTTTACAACTCGACACATTCTGATTTCATACTCCCTCCGTTCCTAAATAAACTACCCTTTTCTTTTTTTTCTTTGTCCCCAAATAAATTTCTCTTTTTCTTTAAAAACTCTCTTTTATTCCTTACTTTTTCATACCCTACATATCACATCATCCATTTTTATTAATAATCTACCTATCACATCTTACTTTTACACATCACATCAAGGGTATTTTTGGAAAGTCAACACAAAAATATCTCTTCCTTAAATCATCAAAAAGTTAAAAATGGAAGTTTATTTAGGGACGGAGGAAGTATATCATATCGATATCTTGATTTTTTTAAGAAAAACGTAATAATATCAAACAAAAAAATACCAAATTGAAAAAAACAATGCAAAACAATTGAATCATATCGATCGAACCAAATGGTCAGTATGATATTTGGGAAATATGCAAAGTAACTTTGAATGGGGTTGATCAAAATAGTATATGTGGAATTTATATAAATAACACTAAAACATAATCACTTTCTCTAAATAACATCACATATGTTTTTTTCCAATCTAGCACTTTTAGTTATTATCCATTAGTCATTAATTATTCAAGTAAATATTAGCCATCACTGGGTATTATGAACATTATGAAGCGCTATTTAACGAATAAAACAATTTAATTGCTATTTAGGGAAATGGCTTAAGTGTTAGTGCTATTTAGTGCAAATATTTCATAGTATATATCTACATGCTTTATATGTGAGTGTGTGACAAAAAAGTATTCAAGTAAGGCAAAAATAAAAATGTTTCGTTGGATAACCGGTCATACATGTATGGATAGAATAAGTAATTAAGATATAAGAACTAAAGTTGTTAACAAAACCTATTGTAGGTCCAATGACATTGTTTGATTCATGTAGTTGACCCACATAGTGGATAATACTTTGTTGTTGTTGTTGTAAAACTATTTTAAAATTTAGCTCAATTTTTATTAAGTAAAAAATATAATTTTGTTCAAGTTTTAATTTTTATAGGTTAATATTAAATTTGAGCTACTATTTTGTTATCGGTCATTCATTCCCTTTAATATGTGACAGGCTCCGTATAAACTAAATTTTGTAAGTATTGTTTACATTTAATTATTTATTTTTTAATTTTTTTATGTTTCTTTATTTAAATATACTTTCAATCTTTCAAAAAAAGTATTTTGTTACATTTTAATGTGTAAACTATGTACATATATATTCATTTCGGTTTATACTAAAATTGATAACGAACCATGTACCAAACTGATATTTCAAGTTAGGGATCAATGCGATGTAAAATTCTGTACTCAACTGCAAAATTGTGTCCGATATCCGTACAAGTTAAATACCGGATCATACTTTACCATGCTCGTCCTTTATATTGATTATGTAGATTTACTTGTAATACATACGAATTAGTCCAACAACATTACTATGATTTCTTGAAATAAGAATTCAAAGTACAACAAACAAGTTCGAATTTCGGGAGGTAGATAACTCTTAGGTTCCATTTGGTACATAGAATTCAAATTATGGAATTGGAATTTGGGACTTCAATTCCAATTCTGGTGTTTGGTAGCACAAAAATTTTGTGGATTTGGAATTGATAGTGCAAAAAATGAATTGAAATTGACAGAACTCAATTTCATGGAATTGAATCCAATGGAATTTCAATTCCAATTCAATTCTAATTCCACCAATTCCTTATACCAAACGAACCCTTAGTGAGTTAGTGCTTTAAAAAGTTGAAAAAAAACATGGTTGAGGTGGTTGTGTTAGAATCCACATATAAAAAAATAGAATATCACATAATCCATTCTTTAAAAAATTCTTAAGTTTTATGTTGTTGTTAGTGTTATTGTTATTAGAACGATTTTTGACCTGAGTTGAATTGACCTTAGAATAACCCAAGGCCTTATTGTTATTCACGGTATGAAATATCTCACTTTTTGAAATTAGTTTATTTACAAATCAGTATATCGATAACAATTAAAAATTACATATTAAAATACTACGTTAAAAGTGGTACAAAACAAGACGATTTGAAAAAATTATTTTATTTTATCAAATACTAAATGAAATCGCGTAAAAAAACAAAAGTTATCGAGAAGAGAAAAAAAAATTATATTCAAATTGGAGAAGGAGGGAGTAGTAGTTATATTATTCTCTTTTTTTCTACACAAATTACAATTACACATGTTTTACTGTATTTTGCAGAGGAAGTAAAAAGAAAATTTGTGGCTTTGATTTGATCGTGAGACCCCGCCCTCATTATATTCCGCTAAGACAAAAGTTTGTAATTAGTCCCCAGGGTATATCTTCTTTATGTACTACGTATCTTAATCCAATCATATGGTCTAATTGTTGTTTTATGAGCCCTATTCTCTTTTACTCGTCCCTTAATTTCTTTTTAACTTTTTTTTAGATTGTCTATAAAAAAAACTTTTTTCTTTTTCTATTTTAGAATAAACTTTTTAATAAATATGTCATTATACTCTCATTTTTATCTACATTACTCATTTTATTTTATCACATCATATCAAAGTCTAACATGGAAATTTTTTTACTCCCTCCGTCCCAAAAAGATCTTCCTGTTTCATTTTTTGCGCGTTTCATAAAACACTTCTATCTCGCCTCAAATGCAAAAAAAAACTTTTAAAACAACTTATACTTACAATAAATGAGAAATGTAGTAAATTTTAGACATTTTAGATGTGTATAGAAGTGTTTTATAGAATGCGCAAAAAATGAAACAAGAAAATCTTTTTGGGACGGAGGGAGTATATTTTTAATTTTTCTTATTTTCGTATCAAGTCAAAACCGAAAAAACATTATTGAACACATAGACTACTCCCTAATTCTCAAGAGTTTGCCATGGACCGATGGAGGAATCCAAAAAATATTCCGTAATATTTTAGCAATAGTACTTTAGATAGTTCTTTGTGCATACCGACTACGTGGTAGTGTGGTACCGAATGGTTTCGCACACTATTAGAA